CAATCTCATCCAGGTCACTGCAAATGTCATTCATTCACTCCTTTTTATGACTGAGTAGTATTCCATCATATATATATATGATGGAATATATATGGAATGTGTGTGTGTGTGTGTGTGTGTGTAGATATAAAACACACAGTTTCTTTATCCACTCATTGATTGATAGGTATTTAGGTTGGTTCCACATTTTTGCAATTGCAAATTGTGCTGCTATGAACATGAATGTTCATATAATGACTGGTTTTCCTCTGGGTAGATACCCAGTAGTGAGACTGCTGGATCAAATGGTAGTTCTACTTTTAGTTCTGTAAGGAATGTCCACACTGTTTTCCATAGTGGCTGTACTAGTTTACATTCCCACTAGCAGTGTAGAAGTGTTCCCTGTTCACCACATCTGTGCCAACATCTATTATTTTTATTTTTCGATTATGGCCGTTTTTGCAGGAGTAAGGTGGGATCACATCGTGGTTTTGATTTGCATTTCCCTGATCATTAGTGATGTTGTACACTTTTTGATATGTTTGTTGGCCATTTGTATATCTTCTTTTGAGAATTTTCTATTTAATGTCGTTAGCCCACTTTTTGATGAGATTTTTTTTCTTGCTAATTTGTTTGAGCTCATTGTATATTCTGGATATTAGACCTTTGTCAGATGTAGTTTGTGAAGATTTTTCTCCCACTCTGTGGATTGTCTGTTTACTCTGCTGACTGTGCCTTCGCTGTGCAAAAGCTCTTTAGTTTAATTAAGTCCCAGCTATTTATCTTTGTTTTTGTTGCATTTGCTTTTGGCTTCTTAGTCATAAAATCCTTGCCTAAGGCAATGTCTCGAAGGGGTTTTCCAATGTTATCTTTTAGAATTTTTATAGTTTCAGGTTTTAGATTTAAGTCCTTGATCAATCTTGAGGTGATTTTTATATAAGGTGAGAGATGAGAATTGAGTTTCATTCTCCTACATGTGGCTAGCCAATTATCTCAGCACCATTTGTTGAATAGGGTGTCCTATCCCCACTTTATGTTTTTGTTTGCTTTGTCAAAGATCAGTTGGCTGTAAGTATTTGGGTTCTCTATTCTGTTCCATTGGTCTACGTGCCTATTTTTATACCAGTACCATGCTGTTTTGGTGACTGTGGCCTTATAGAGTTCGAAGTCAGGTAATGTGATGCCTCCAGATTTGTTCATTTTGCGTAGTCTTGCTTTGGCTATGTGGGCTCTTTTTTAGTTCCATATGAATTTTAGGATTGTTTTTTCCAATTTTGTGAAGAATGATGGTGGTATTTTGGTGGGAATTGTATTGAATTTGTAGACTGCTTTTGGCAGTATAATCATTTTCACAATATTGATTCTACCCATCCATGAGCATGAGATGTGTTTCCATTTATTTGTGTTGTCTATGATTTTTTTCCAGCAGCGTTTTGTACTTTTCCTTGTAGAGGTCTTTCACCTCACTGGTTAGATACATTCCTAAGTATTTTATTTTATTTTTTTGCAGCTATTGTAGAAGGGGTTGAATTCTTGATTTGATTCTCAGCTTGGTCGCTGTTGATGTATAGAAGAGCTACTGATTTGCGTATATTAATTTTGTATCTGGAATCTTTGCTGAATTTTTTTTATTATCAGTTCTGAGAGCTTTCTGGAGGAGTCTTTAGGGATTTTTAGGGAAACAATCATATCATCAGCACACAGCGACAGGTTGACTTCCTCTTTGCTGAGTTGGATGCCATTTATTTATTTCTGTTGTCTGATTGCTCTGGCTAGGACTCCCAGTACTACGTTGAAGAGAAATGGGGAGAATGTGCATCCTTAAGTTGTTCCAGTTCTCAGAAGGAATGCTTTCAACTTTTCCCCATTCAGTATTATGTTGGCTGTGGGTTTGTCAGAGATGGATGGCTTTTGTTACGTTGAGGTATGTTCCCTGTATGCCGATTTTGCTGAGAATTTTAATCATAAAGGAATGTTGGATGTTTTTGAATGCTTTTTCTGTGTCTACCAAGGTGATCATGCAATTTTTGCTTTTAATTCTGTTTATGTGGTGTATCACATTTACTGACTTGCATATGTTAAGCCATTCCTGCATCCCTGGTAGGAAACTCACTTGATCATGGTGGATTTTTTTTTTTTTTTTTTTTTTTGCTATCTTGTTGGATTTGGTTAGATAGCATTTTGTTAAGGATTTTTGCATTTATGTTAATCAGAGATATTGGTCTGTAGTTTTCTTTTTTGGTTATGTCCTTCCATGGTTTTGGTATTAGGGTAATCCTGGCTTCACAGAATGATTTAGGGCAGATTCCCTCTTTCTCTATCTTGTGGAATAGTGTCAACAGGATTGGTACCAATTCTTTGGATGTCTGGTCGAATTCTGCTGTGAATCCGTCTGGTTCTGGACTGTTTTTGTCAGTAAATTTTAAATTGCCATTTTAATCTCACTGCTTATTATTGGTCTGTTTAGGATATCTAATTCTTCCTGATTTATACTAGGAGGGTTGTATCTTTCCAGGAATTTATCCATCTCCTCTAGGTTTTCTAGTTTGTGTGCATAAGGATGTTCATAGTAGCCTTGAATGATCTTTTGCATTTCTGCAGTGTCAGTTGTAATATCTTCCATTACATTTCTAATTGAGCTGTTTGGATTTTCTCTCTTCTTTTCTTGGTTAATCTTGCTAATAGTCTATCAATTTTATTTATCTTTCCAAAGAACCAGCTTTTTATTTCATTCATCTTTTGTATTTTGTTTGTTTTAATTTCATTTAGTTTTGCTATGATCTTGGTTATTTCCTTTCTTCTGCTGGGTTTGGGTTTTGTTTGTTCTTTTTTCTCTAGTTCCTTGAGGTGCGACCTTAGATTGTCTGTGCTCTCTCATACTTTCTGATGTAGGTGTTTAGGGCTATGAACTTTCCTCTTAGCACGCCTTTGTTGTATCCCAGAGGTTTTGATAGACACCTAACACTGGAGCTCCTAATTTTATAAAACAATTACTAATACACCTAAGAAATGAGATAGATAGCAACACAATAGTAGTGGGGGGGCTTCATACTCCACTGACAGCACTGGACAGGTCATCAAGACAGAAAGTCAGCAAAGAAACAATGGATTTAAACTATATCCTGGAACAAATGGACTTAACAGATATTTACAGAACATTCTATCCAACAGCTGCAGAATATACATTCTATTTATCAGTGCACAGAACTTTCTCCAAGATAGCTTCAATAAATTTAAGAAAATTGAAATTATATCAAGCACTCTCTCAGACCACAGTGGAATAAAACTGAAAATCAACTCCAAAGGGAATCTTCAAAACAATGCAAATACATGGAAATTAAATAACCTGCTCCTGAATGATGATTGGGTCAAAAATGAAATCAAGATGGAAATTAAAAAATTCTTCAAACTGAATGACAATACAGGCTGTCTTTAGAAAGTTTTCTCTCACATTTTTCCTTTCAAATTAGAAGCCCTTCCTCAGATGTTACTTGTTTTTCTTCCCGCAGTAGGCTGTGAATTCCCACGAGGAAAGGACCAGATCTTTCTTCTATGTATTCCCAAGACCACCACAAGTGTTCAATAAATATGAAATGCTCAGTAAAGGTCTGCTGACTAAATCAACAAGTGAACGAACATTGGCAGTATACATCAGTCTTCCAAATAACTTTCCTCCCATTTAGTAGCAGGTCATAAAATTGTCTACCCTCTTAGGAAAAAAATCCAAACTTTATTAATTTAGTTACCTATGCTCATCTTTGATGAAGCTGGGCATTTAAATTCACCATAAGGTGAACTTATGAAGAATATTTATCTCACTAGCCTGGCAACTCTGGCCAGATTTTAACTAAATTGAGGCCACAGACCAAATTATTCTTAGGATAAAGAGGAAAAATATAATGTGACTCCAAACTTCACAGACATCCTTAAAAAATCTCACTCTAAATAAATTCATCTAAATTTGGACAGGAGAGTAGCAATGGTAAGTGTTAATTGGCAGAGAGTTCACAATTTTAACACTCCACTGTTACACAGAGTTTCCTAAAAGAGCAGCCTTCCCAAAGTTGTCTTGTGGTTAAAAAGCAAGCTTTAATTACACACACACACACACACACACACACACACACACACACACACACATCCCTACCCACCCACCCACCCATGCTTTTCATCTGTCCAGTTCCCACTTAGCAAACTGTTAATACATCTTAAAATACTTAAATTTTCAGAGTTAAAAAAAAAGAGCAGCTGTAATCCTAAGTAACGCAGTGTTTTCATCCCCGTCTCCCTGCAGAGACGTACCCAACTCCCAATGTCTAGGAGGACCTGGTGGTGGTTTTTTCCCTCTAGGTTTTGGACACAACCATCTGTCATTTGGCATTTAACCAACCCCGACTTCGAGCTCCTTCTCTAGATCAACAAGTATTAGCTCCTCTCTTCTGGAGTGAAGAAGCTGTAGGCACCTCTCCCCACAACCCTTAAAACAAATCTTATTAAAAGGTGACCGGAAATGAGTCACTGGAAACAGAAATTTCTTAAAAGATCTCTGAGAAAAACACATCTCCTTCCCCCTTACAACATAAGGGCCTCATTTAATATGCAAACAACCCACTCTTTGAGAAGTAACTTTTCAACTGCGGCACAGCTACAACAGTCTCGGTGATATCCTTCCACTGACCCTGATAACAGCCCTTCCAGCCACTAGCGACTCCGTTTACTTCCCCCGGAAACCCATCAGTTGCTGAAGTGACAACCAACACTGGAATGCCAGGGTTCGCCCAACAGGTAGTATGGGGAGGCGCCCCAGACGACAGGGCGTTCCCCCCACCCCACCCCGCCCTCTGGGCGCTCCACGCCGGCGTTCACCTGACCCCGCGCCTGGGGGATTGCGCGGGCTCCACCGAGAGTGCCAAGGCTCTGCACGGCCGCGGGGAGGAGGTGAGCGCGCCCGATTCACGTCGCTTCCATGCCCACCTCCTCCCACTACGAGTCCCCTCCCCTTGCCACAGCACTGCCCTTATTGTTGGCCGCGTCTGTCACTTTGTAGGACTGGTGACATGAATGGATGGGCTGGACACACCTTCAGTCCTTTCAGAAAAAACACAAACCAGAAAAAACCGTCCAGATTTGCATAGAGAGGGGGAAAGACTCCCCCCGACGTTCCCAGAGCCTAAGCCGTCGGCCAGAGAAATTCACAGCTTCCCCCTCCCACACTCACTCCTCCCATCCCTTAAAAAAACGCAAATAAATAATATCTTTCCAAGCCCGCCGCCGTCCCGGGCGGCCTCTTCTCCCCGCCTGGCTCGGCGCGCTCCAGCCCTGCGGCAGGCGGCGACGAGAAGCTGCGGCTCCTTGTGCGGTGCGGCGGGCGCGCAGCAGGCCAGCCGGCGCCGCACTATGCTCCCCAGAGCGGTGGCAGCCCACGCCGGTGCGTACTGGGACGTGGTGGCTTCCTCCGCGTTCCTCAACCTCCCCGCTGCGCCCGGCTTTGGCAACCTGGGCAAGAGTTTCCTGATCGAGAACTTGCTGCGGGTCGGGGGTGCCCCGACGCCCGGGCTGCAGCCGCCCGCGCCCCACGGCCCGGCGACCGCCTTGGCCACCGCGGGCGCGCAACTCCGGCCCCTGCCCGCCAGCCCGGTTCCCCTAAAGCTGTGCGCCGCAGCCGAACAAGTTAGCCCCGCCGGGGCACCCTACGGTACGCGGTGGGCTTTTCAAGTGCTCAGTCCCTCTATGGACAGTGCCAGGCTGCCGGGCCGGGCTCCGGGGGACCGAGACTGTACCTTCCAGCCTTCAGCGCCAGGTGAGCCAGCTCTCCCCTCCCTCCCCAGCCGCGACCGTGTCCCCAGGCCGGGCGGTCACGGGATCTGGCAGCGCCGGCGCTGCGCACTGTGCCCGGGGAGCGCCGGTTTGGGACCTTCCTGGAGCATTTCAAGCTTTAGTGGAGATGCCACTTTGGGAGTCGGGGGCCCAGGCGGAGGCGCACCACTTTCTGTGATTCTTTTTTGCCTCATCCCACCCATTCCATTCCACCAGCTTCCTTGCTGTTCCCTTCTTTCAACAGGTGGTAGGGCTCCTTAAGTTTTTGGCCTTAACTGGGAAACTCTGAAGGTTCTTCGGCCTGCCTGGATCAGTCTCAAGGGGTTTCACCAAGTTCAACGTTTCTAACCCGCCCGCTCTTGTGCCCCGGGCCGCACGACACCAGCTCTCAGAAAAGTTACTGACAAGGAGAGCTTCGCGCGGCCCAACTAGGGGAGATTTTGCCACTCAAACTGTTAGGATTGTCGGGATAGGTCAGGAACGCGCGCAACGATCTTTGGAAGGAGAGTTGCGCAAAGTTCTGGCTTTCTCCACTCTTAAATTTTGGATCACGTTAGAAGCAAAGAAATGAAGGCCGGCTCTTTCTTCGTGCTGAGCTGAAAAACAGCTGAATTGGCAACTGGAATAGGAAGTTCACCGATAAATAAGAATTTACCGAAAGAAGGGCAGTTTGGGTTTATTTTAATCACCGTATTAAACCTAACTAGTGGGACTGGGAAGAAGGATGCTGACAATTTAGTCAAATATTAGCTAAAGCTTATGTGGGGCTCCCTGAAATTGTCAGTGATAAAAGGGAAAAAGCCTCTTAGAGACTCGGAAACTGAGATCCAATTGGATTTTTTTTTTTTTTTTGGCTGCGTCCTTAAACGATCTTAACTCATTCTTTTAATCCCGATGGGTTTGTCCAGAATGACTAATAGACGCTTTTTCAGCAGTTTCCATTGTCCCAGCAAACTGCCGGATCAAATTTATTGCTAATGGCTTTATAGAATTTAACATGTTTAGAACCTGTCCTAGTCTTTCAGTTTGAAATGATTACTAACAGAATGGAACAAATGTAACTATATGAACACCGGTCTCATTCACTTAGTGTAAAACCTAAATGCTAGGGAGCCTTTTTTGCACCCTGAGAGAGGAACAAACAGTTAAGGCAAAGTTTATGGAAATTTGGGCCTCTCTGTTCTTTTTGAAGTATTAGAAAAATTAGGCATAAAGCAGGTTCACTTGGACAAGAGTTAATAAATTATATTTCATAAAAATAACATTTTCCAGAAAATTTGTTGATTTGCATAACTTTTGGTGGCTTGTTTGTATTGATAGAAGTTATCTTTCAAGGATTCCTACGCTGTTTCTAATCATAATTGTCTCAGCCATGAAAAGGTATTTAATTTTAACCTTTGCAGATTTTACAGATTACATTTAAATAAAATAAATGCAAGTCAAGTGCAGTTATTTCAATAACCCTCAAAAGTAATTTCCCATATCTATTTATTTATTTCAAAATATTGCAACTAAAGGTTAAAAGTTTTCATAACTACATTTTTTTATTTTCAAGAACATATTCATTCTTGTACACGTATTAAAGTGTCCAATTGCAAACATCGTTTTTGGAATAATTACGAGGGTTGTAAGAATTTTTATTCCCTTTTGAAGTATTCTAATACAGTTTAAGCATGTGTTTTTCCAAATATTTTATTCAATACTCATTGAAGAGATGATGTTCTAGATTAATTTTCATTTGAACAAACAACCTTTGTTTTTTAAAAAATTATTCTTGTAAAGAAAACATTAGGTTCTGAAACTAGAAAAACATCTAAAGAAGAAAACTAAAATCTCATGAATTTGACCCCACAAATATGCTGCTTAAAACCAGAATTTATATTGATATATTTTGATAATTGGATAAAGAATGTAGTTTTCTGAACATTGCCCCGGTTTTATTTAAATTACAGATTCTTGCCTTACCAAATGTGGGAATTATTTTATGGAGTGTACAATTATGAAATTATAATGGAGTGCCAACAATTTTTTTTTTCCTATCAGGTGGAAATTAGGTGAGGATGAAATAGTGATTTGGTGTTCTGGGGGAGAGCCTAAGAGTTGGAGTTTTCGGGAAGATAATACTATATTTTTCTGAAATGTTGTCGAACAACCAGTTCTGATCCTTTAAACGTTAACTTGGGAGTGTACCACAAAATCTGATTTTAGTAATTTCTTCATGTTGACTGCCCGCTTTTTCCCCAGCCTTAATTTGTTCAGTGCACTACATCTACATTTGAATAAGAAAGCCCCAGAGTTATTTCTAAGTTCATTGGTGAAATATACCACCATTTAACTGCGGGATTTCTGCTTCTGTATGCATTTTTGTTTCATTATTTTTCGTTATTTTTGTTACCTACTTTAAATATACCATATATTTCATTCATTCAGCACATGCTTACTGAATGTCTCCCATGTATCAGGCTCTGTTCTAGGCCATTGGCATAATCCGTTAACAAAACAGCTGACTGACTGGGCCCTTGTAGAGCTTACATTCCATGTTCTGTACCACTTTATAGGTTAGCAGCCATTTTCAAAACAGCTCCCTTAATCCTCCTAATAAGCTAATGAGATGGCTATGGGGATTCCAGTTGTTTTTCTTAATGATTATTTCATTTGCTCATTTTGTTTTTGTCCAAAGTATCACTTTAATCATCTATGAACTTGTGAAAGAGAAAAAAATTACTCCAAATCTTCAGACTCCTACCTTAGGTTAGTCTTTCATTGACTAGAAGAAAATAATGAGGGCCAATTGGATCACCAATTACATAGTATCACCATAATAAATCAAATTGTGATTTTGTACCTCTGCCCATAATGGAAGAAATTAGCTTTCCCTTTCCTCTTGTTATGAAATATATTTGAAAGGTGGTGACAGTTAAACACAGTAACACAAATTTACAGCTCATGGGCGAAAGTAGAGTTGTCAGTGCTTCATCCCTGAAAGTTGTTAAGTTTGAGTATTTACAGCAAGAAAAGCCACACTCCATAGCTATATGTTGTCAAGTTGTTTATATAGAATAGTTTTAAAACTTTAAAAATCAAAGGACTCAGAGCTAGGGAGGGGCACATTTAGGGCAATATTGGATAGTAAATAGGTTCTTCTGCAGGGCTTATATCTGAAAAAAGAAAAAATGTCATGAATGTATTATAGTTTATTAGTGGAAACCAGGAGGTTTTTGGAGTAAACTCTGATTATCAGATATCCTTCCTCAGAAGTTTGCCGATGCCATTATTTGTGACAATATTTGGAAAATATTATGCCTGATAAAAATATTCATGTCTTTGTATATAAAAGAGGGCCTGAAAATGTAAAATGCCGAAAGATTTAAATTCTCCTGGCTACAGAATGACATCAGTTTTCCAATTGGTGGTTATGCCATCAGTTCTCTTCAAAATAAGTGGAACAAATAGTCTTGCTTATTAATAACATTTGTTATTTTAAGCATTTTAGAAAATGTTTGACATAAAAATAATTTCCTGAATATAATTTCCTTTATTGTTTATTAAATCTATTCTTGTGCTGCGTATGAAAGGACTGGAAAGCAAATGTTCATTCTGGATAGGTGAGTTGAACTGCAAAAAGTAGTTTTGCCAAGTAAGTCATTCTGTGTAGTAAAGAAATAAAAGAGCATTAGTACTTTTTTTTTCCTGGCATCCGGTTAGGATTTTTTCTGACCATCAATACTTAATGTGCACTCTAGTTTTCTTGTTTGTCTCCCAATCCCAGGTACTGTTTACCCACTGATTGTTGACTGTCTGAAACTATTCACACTTGTGTCTGGTGCTGCAAATGGTAGTTTTTTCCTCCACTGAGATACACTGAAAGTGTGAAATAAAATGGCCTCTCTTACATTTTAGGCACCTAGGGGAGGGAGAAAAGGGATTTGTGCTCAAGGTGGGGATTCCAGTCTAAGTAAAGACTTTGTGACCTTATTTTTTAAGCCTGAGTTTGAGCTTTCTGTTATGATTTAGATTCGTTTTGACAAATTAAAATCATAGAATTTTGAGTGTTGATGCTGATTCAGAACCAGGATGACAAAAGGGGATTCCGAATGGGATAGTGATGGGACCCATGCTAGTGGTTCTTTGCTGAGGCCATCACTCCAGTCATCCTTTGGTGGAATTTTTTGAGAATTCCAGAACCATATTATTTCTATGTCTGTATATTTTTCTGTAATCTGCTCAACATACCTTTTTATTTAAAATTAACATATTAATAACTTTTACCTAGTTCGTGAGTAATCAACTCTATGGTCCCTAAGTTAATAAACACCTTCAGGTTCAAGGAGAAGTTCTTGCAGTGGATGAAATAAAAGAGACTATTAAAACCAATATCTCTACCTCTCTTCTGCCCCAACACATGCTTCTCTTCTCTTCTTTGCTGTAACAACAAGCACATTTCAATCTGGTAATATGTACTGAAACTCTTGAAGTTTAATAGTAAAACAGGAGTACATGGAGCAGGCAAATAAGAATGTTTTAGAACTTTCCACTTAGCTCCCTTCCTTTAGGGATTTGAGGGTTATTTTAAGAGATACGATGGTTTGAATGCCCGTAAATCTACGTATGGACTTACGTAGAATTAAACGTAGAATTTAGAGTGTTCAGGGTTATGCTACATAAAGTCAAAAGGATGCCGTATGTTTTGGGCAATTTAAAGGGATTGCCGAGATCGCACCACTGCACTCCAGCCTGGGTGACAGAGCGAGACTCTGTCTCAAAAAAAAAAAAAAAAAAAAAAAAAGGGGGGGGGATTGCCAAGGGTGATTTTATTTATATTTGTTTGCCATGGATGTGTTTCCAAGGTTTATATTGGAACCTAAGCTGTGCTTAGACTCCATGATAGTCCTCTTTGGGTGTGCCACCTCATTCCTGTTCTTGTTGACCAGTGTAGGTGTCTTTTTGCTGTAAGAAGATATTTTATGGTTAGATTTGCTGCTG